ATGTGGCGGGGGGTGGGGGGGTTGGGGGGGGGGGAAGTCGCCCTGTTGGAGTTTCACATATAAGTAGTGGCAGTGAGATGATTGTCAGACCAAAGGAGTGGGTGATTTATGACAGAGATAAAGTCCTCAAACAAATTACTTAAACGGTGAGATGATCAAACAGAGCTTCCACGACTTGAAACACAATCCGTCCATCTGAGTTGACAGGGAGGATTCAGTGTTATTAACATGGGTTCTTCATTTTAAAAAAAAGGTAATAATTCAAAATTAATGTAATTAACAACACTCATTTATAAACTCATTAGCTCATTAAACATTTAAAGCGAATTGAGTTTTTTAAAACTAAACAATCAGTGTGAATGTGAGCCTCGAGTGCTGGAGCTTAAGAGGTTAGCTTTGGGTCAGTTGCCACACGGGTTCTCAACTGATTTGTTTCGTGGATTTATGTTTGTTTGATCCCCCTCTTCCCCCCCCCCCTCCCCCCCCCCCCCCCCCCCCCCCCCCCCCCCCCCCTTCTCCTCCCCCCGCTCCCCCCCCCGCTTCCCCCCCCCCAATCCCCTGCTTTAACGTGTGAGGCTCACTGAGTCTGACCTTAATCTGTTCTCACATGATTAACCTCGATCGTGAATGCAGATATCACGGTTGTGCACCCGATCGAACCAGTGTTCTTTCTTTTTACATCGGCTCATTATTAACTTACGTCGTGGGGGCCACAAAAGAACCACTCGTCCGACTCTCGAACCCGCCTGGCCCGATTACAATAATGAGTTCACCAACGGGACGGGGGAGAGCAATCCTCAACTTGAAAAGGAGAAGTGGACCGATACACGACATGTTTAGAATTTATGAATAGTGAGAGTGGGGATTATATAAGGTGGGGCGTGGAGATTAGTGGTACAGGTTTAGAGGATATATGAGGAGGGGTGCTGGGGGTCACGGTGGGCGAGTGGGGGGGGGTCAAAGTTTGTAGACACACTTTGTGTTTGTGTACTGAGTTATTTAATGAAAACGGGAGGAAATCTATTTTTCTGGATCTAAGAAAAGTTAAATGTACGTGTTGGGACGTTAGAATGTATTTAAGTTTTATTTTTTTTTAAATGTGTGAATGTTTTGCTATCTTACCTAAATGGTGATTGGTGATTGTATTCAAAACAACGTAGCGAGGAATTCAGGTGAAATTTTGTAAATGTGGAAGATGCTTCATAGTTTAAGAAAAACAACCTAGGTTATTTAATAAGATCGACAGGACACAATTCATCATGTTTATCACAGAAATATTATATTTCTTGAAAACTTCTAAAATTAAATCAACTTAGTAATATCAGTATTTTCACGCGTATGATTAAATAGATTTAAATTTTCATTCCATAGTATTTATTGATAGTCTAAATAACATTTTTTAAATAGCTCAATTCATTTAAGATTTGTTTGATGACAAGGACGCCAAATTTTAAATGTTGTAGATAGAGTAACATAACTTCTTTAAGGTGGACTGTCCGTTGTGTGGGTACTGTTATATGCGACACTGCCATCTTGCTGGACGATCACGTGACATTTTGTGTCTCACGCAGACCGATGGGGAATACATTTACAAATGCTTGATAACAGACAGGACGGGATAACAACTGGTAACCAAGGAATCATGAGTCATACATCACCATGCAGGTGTATGCTGGTAGTTATCGTTATCGTCTGCGGTAAGTTGACTAATGCTGTACTGACAATGCTGTCTCCTCTGAGTTACACTTGAGGTGGAACTAATTTTTTTTTAAACTTTACCTAGATCATTTTAATCTTTAAAAATATCTACTTTTATGCTACAAATATTCCAGTTTTCTATTTGATTATCTATACAGCAATGTAGCAGTCACCACGACGAAATATTACACGTATTATATATGTATATGTATTTTACATATCATATGACATTAAGCAATTTGTCTTTGGGGAACCGTCCTTAAGTTATTTATCAAAATGTCTAATGACCTTAATTAAAATTATGATCACCCGGGTCCAGCATTCAGATCGCTGACACCACAAATTAAAAGGCGCCCTCTCTGGGATTAGGATTCTGACAAGCAAATCAAATTCCTATCTCTAAGTATTACGTTTTTTTTTTGTTTTTTTTTTTTTTGTAACGATGAAATGGTGATGATGTTACTTGTATTTATTACTTATTTTATTTATTTACATTCACAGACGTCCATGATTATCTAACAAAGCATGATGGCCAGAACTCCAAGACTTTTTAGCATTTTTTTTTTTTGTTTTTTTTTTTTTTTGTAACGATGAAATGGTGATGATGTTACTTGTATTTATTACTTATTTTATTTATTCACATTCACAGACGTCCATGATTATCTAACAAAGCATGATGGCCAGAACTCCAAGACTTTTTAGCATCACAACATTTATTTACTGAATAATGTACACCACATGAAATCTTATCATAAACCAGAGCAAACATAATTGTCATCACTTCTTCCACGTCGTATTTGTTGAATCAACATTAAGATGCTGTTTTAATACAAAAGTAATCATAGCAAGAATAAAGAGATGTACTCAACGGCAATCCATCCGGTTTCTTCCCTGTGTATCCCTTAACTTCCTGGTTCTTTAATTTAAAAAAAAAACAACAATACATTATTCTGAAACAAACTTAATAATCTACAAATTTGATCTGTGACAGTTTAAAAAAAGTAAAATGAAAAGGAAAAAAAATAACAGCCGATTGATCTGTTTCATCCAAAACTAGAGAAGACGCGGTCATTTTCAACTGGTCAACTCTACAACACAAAGGTCATTTATTTCAGGATTTATGCATTTCTTTATAAAAGAGAACAAAAAGTTTTGTTGACTCTGACCGTCCATCATGTCCAGACATGGGTGGCTTGGACTTGGGGAGGCGAGGTCAAGATTTTTACCAAGCTGTTTTTAAATGAATCATTTTATGGAACTGTTTTTTTAATGTCATGTTTTTCTTTTCTTTTTGCTAATTTTTATGTGCAGAGTGGTGGGCCTTACCCTAAGCTGGGGTACCGTGCACTATGAGACCACGTTTATTCATAATAATAATAGTAATACATTTTCTAGATATTAATTGAATTGTTATGTTCAGATATTTTTGTAAACATTTTGATGTCCGACAATCCAGGATCGCCTGGCAAACGACTTACTTTTTTTACATATCTCACATTTGTACCTATTTGTACCAACTTTTTCCACCTTCAGTTCAGTGGCGTATTGTACGTGGGGGCTGCACGTTTCCATCTGACATCCGGGACAAGTGGACACGAAGTCGGGACTCCAGAAATCTGACGTTCACGAACACACAGGTGTCCGGCATGAGTGTCAAGTGGAACACGCAGACGATGGATCCTTTTCTGTGCCACTCCACTTCCGGCAATAAATACGTCATGTAAGTATGTAGGGAATGCTCTTCAAATAAATACACGTCATGTAAGTATGTAGGGAATGTTCTTCAAATAAATACACGTCATGTAAGTATGTAGGGAATGCTCTTCAAATAAATACACGTCATGTAAGTATGTAGGGAATGCTCTTCAAATAAATACACGTCATGTAAGTATGTTGGGAACGCTCTTCAAATAAATACTCGTCATGTAAGTATGTAGGGAATGCGCTTCAAATAAATACACGTCATGTAAGTATGTAGGGAATGCTCTTCAAATAAATAGACGTCATGTAAGTATGTAGGGAATGCTCTTCAAATAAATACACGTCATGTAAGTATTTAGGGAATGCTCTTCAAATAAATAGACGTCATGTAAGTATGTAGGGAATGCTCTTCAAATAAATACACGTCATGTAAGTATGTAGGGAATGCTCTTCAAATAAATACACGTCATGTAAGTATGTAGGGAATGCTCTTCAAATAAATAGACGTCATGTAAGTATGTAGGGAATGCTCTTCAAATAAATACACGTCATGTAAGTATGCAGGGAATGCTCTTCAAATAAATACACATCATGTAAGTATGTAGGGAATGCTCTTCAAATAAATAGACGTCATGTAAGTATGTAGGGAATGCTCTTCAAATAAATACACGTCATGTAAGTATGTAGGGAATGCTCTTCAAATAAATACACGTCATGTAAGTATGTAGGGAATGCGCTTCAAATAAATACACGTCATGTAAATATGTAGGGAATGCTCTTCAAATAAATACACGTCATGTAAGTATGTTGGGAAAGCTCTTCAAATAAATACACGTCATGTAAGTATGTTGGGAATGCTCATCAAATAAATACTCGTCTTGTAAGTATGTAGGGAATGCGCTTCAAATAAATACACGTCATGTAAGTATGTAGGGAATGCTCTTCAAATAAATACACGTCATGTAAGTATGTTGGGAATGCTCATCAAATAAATACTCGTCATGTAAGTATGTAGGGAATGCGCTTCAAATAAATACACGTCACGTAAGTATGTAGGGAATGCTCTTCAAATAAATACACTTCACGTAAGTATGTTGGGAATGCTCTTCAAATAAATACACGTCAAGTAAGTATGTAGGGAATGCTCTTCAAATAAATACACGTCATGTAAGTATGTTGGGAATGCTCTTTAAATAAATACACGTCATGTAAGTATGTTAGGAATGCTCTTCAAATAAATACACGTCATGTAAGTATGTTAAGAATGCTCTTCAAATAAATACATGTCATGTAAGTATGTAGGGAATGCTCTTTAAATAAATACACGTCATGTAAGTATGTAGGGAATGCTCTTCAAATAAATACACGTCATGTAAGTATGTAGGGAATGCTTTTTAAAATTGTTTGCGGTTACTTTGTAATGTCTAGTAGTTACATTTCATTTACAATTTTTTTTTTTTTTTGCTATAGACAGTTCGGTAATTAGAGAAAGAATGTTCTAGTGGTTTTTTCCCTAAGATCACTTTGGGTAAAATTATACGCTTAACTATTACTAGCGTTGAGATGAAAGCCGGACACTATAATCTATTACAAGAATGTTACAAAGCAAATTCACAAAGTATATTCTATAGGAAACCCCGTAAGTCAGTCGGGACGTGTGGGTCAGTTAGTCAGACGGGACGTGTGGGTCAGTTAGTCAGACGGGACGTGTGGGTCAGTTAGTCAGACGGGACGTGTGGGTCAGTTAGTCAGACGGGACGTGTGGGTCAGTTAGTCAGACGGGACGTATCGGTCAGTTAGTCAGACGGGACGTGTGGATCAGTTAGTCAGACGGGACGTGTTTGTCAGTTAGTCAGTCGGGATGTATGGGTCAGTTAGTCAGTCGGGACGTATGGGTCAGTTAGTCACACGGAGCGTATGGGTCAGTTAGTCACACGGGACGTATGGGTCAGTTAGTCGGTTGGGACGTATGGGTCAGTTAGTCAGACGGGACGTATGGGTCAGTTAGTCAGATGGGACGTATGGGTCAGTTAGTCAGACGGGACGTATGGGTTAGTTAGTCAGACGGGACGTATGGGTCAGTTAGTCAGACGGGACGTATGGGTCAGTTAGTCAGACGGGACGTATGGGTCAGTTAGTCAGACGGGACGTGTGGGTCAGTGAGTCACACGGGAGTATGGGTCAGTTAGTTAGACGGGACGTATGGGTCAGTTAGTCAGTCGTGCATAAGCCAACGAATAGAAACGTTATTGGATGTAAGTTTTTTGTTCAATTTATTCAGCAGATATTTTGGGACAATTTTAAAATGACCTAACCGATGAAACATCCTAAGGATACATTGTTAAATGACCTAACCGATGAAATATCCTCAGGATACATTGTTAAAGTGACCTAACCGATGAAACATCCTAAGGATACATTGTGAATGTGACTGAATTGATAAAGATTCTTTGTTAAAATGACTTGTTGATGCATTGTTGAAATGACTTATGTAATGTTGAACCTTTGATGATAGACTTGGGCACATTTTGACCATGGTTAAAATGACTTGGCCTCTGACCAAGAAACTGGACGACCCAAACTGACCTTCCTAAGACATCATTTTGTCTAAGGTCAGTGCTCTCATCTTTCACTCTGCCTCCTTTGGGTGCTTGACTATGCAGCTGCCTGGAATAAGTTAACCGTGTTAAATAAAGTCCCACTTCTCTTTACAGATATGCCAATTACACTGGTTTGCTTGGAACAGACAGCTACTATGTCTGTTGGGAACTGGTCAGAGTAACTGCTAATGCATATATCATCTATGACCTATCAGGTAACACTGGATAACATTTAAGACCCATCAGGTAACACTGGGTAACATTTAAAACATATTAGGTAACACTGGGTAACATTTACGACCTATCAGGTAACACTGGGTAACATTTGTGGGACCTATAAGATAACACTGGGTAATATTTTTTTAAAATTTTGTTTAAATATCAAGTAACAAGGGGTAACATGTATGACCTATCGGATAACACTGGATAACATTTGTGACCTATCAGGTATCATTGTGTAACATTTAAGACCTATCAGGTAACACTGTGTGATATTTATGACCTATCAGGTAATAATGAGTAACATTGTGACCTATCAGGTAACACTGGGTAACATTTGTGACCTATCCAGTAATTATGCGTAATTTTTGTGACCTATCCGGTAACAATGGGTAACATCTATGACATATCAGGTAACAACGCAGCCTGTATGGCCTACAAGGTAACAGTGAAATACAGTGGCCGAACCAAACTACTCCATCCAACTACTGAACCTGCTTAAATTAATAACTTTCTATTCAGGTATCGTAAATGGGACTGGCTTCGAATCAGGAAGAAATGGCTATGTGCTGCCAGGTGATAACCCACTGGACATTACGAAAGCTTGCAGCAAGAGCGTCACGACAGAGTTCTTTTCAACCCTGATTAAATCTGGTAACATTAATTTATAAGGAACTTTTTACAATGAACTGCCGACCTTGACCTTGATATGCCCCTTGGCGATGTAGTCCTTTTGTGTATATCCGCTGACAAAACTTGACAGATTCTTACCTTTATATATCCCTTCAATGAAACCAACGGTGCTTAAAATATGGCGACTTCACCTTTTGTAGACTGTTTATCGACACTTGTACCCAACACACACACACAGAGGGAGAGAGAGAGAGAGAGAGAGAGAGACAGAGACAGACACACAGACATACAATACTTTTACAATATATAAATGTCACACATTAAAATATTTTAAATTTAAATTGTACAGCAGAAAATGCAGTATATCGATGTCGATATATTTAACATGATGTAAATTGTATTCGTTTAGGAATATCTATTATATTAGGATTATAGGATTATATTATATTCTATTAGGAAAATCCGATAAGAATGTTGAAATGTTTTTACTTAAATCAGACCCCCGTTTCTTGTTCAATAAATCAACATTTCTTGACCTGTTCAACGAATTATGCCTCGGTTAACCTTTAAATGGATCACCCTTTCATTTCCCGTCCAATTAATCATCCATACATTCTCTGTTCAATGAATTATTCCTTCATTCCGCGTAAAATGAATCACCCCTCCTTTCCATGTTAAATGAATCACCCTTCTGTTCCCTGTTAAATGAATCATCCCCCCGTTCCCTGTTAAATGTATCATCCCCCTGTTCCCTGTTAAATGAATCATCACTCCATTCCCTGTTAAATGAATCACCCTTCCGTTCCCTGTTAAATGTATCATCCCCCCGTTCTTTGTTAAATGAAGCATCACTCCGTTCCCTGTTAAATGAATCCCTCTTCCGTTCCCTGTTAAATGAATCATCCCTCCGTTCCCTGTTAAATATATCATCCCCCAGTTCCCTGTTAAATGAATCATTCGCCGGTTCCCTTTTAATTGTATCATCCCCCCGTTCCCTGTTAAATGTATCATCCCCCCGTTCCCTGTTAAATGTATCATCCCCCCTTCCCTGTTAATTGTATCATCCCCCCGTTCCCTGTTAAATGAATCATCCCTTCGTTCCTCGACATGTTATTTTCCACCTGGATCGACTGATCACAAGTCTAGCACAATCTTAACACCCAGGGTCGACATCAAATGATGTAGCGGTGGCCTGCCCTTCAGTTCTGAACGCAACCTTCTCCTATGGAACATGTCCCACCACGGCCCTCGACTTTTGCCCAAACGGGAAGACCGGGGTCATGGACTACACAGCATGTACAACTCTAGTCTTTCGATCAGGTGAAACTCATCAACTCTTTACATAAGTTACATTGTTTTAGAGTAGGTAACACATTTATTTAAATGACTAGCTGCCAACAAAATGACAGTTGATCAGAAAAATGGAAAAGTTGCATATATCAGTCTTACTAGAACTATTTTTTGAAATGTTCTTGAGTGCTACATGTGCCATTGATTGCTACATATGTCATTGTTTGCTACATTTGTCATTGGTTGCTACATCTTTCATTGACGCTACACATATGTCATTGATTGCTATAATTTTCATATATGCTACATTTTTATTTATTACTACATTGGTCATTAATTTGCTACATTTTTATTGAGTGCTACATTTGTCATTGAGTGCTACATTTTTCATTGATTGCTACATTTTTCATTGAGTGCTACGTCTTTCATTGATTGCTACATTTGTCATTGAGTGCTACATTTTTCATTGATTGCTACATTTGTCATTGAGTGCTACATTTTTCATTGATTGCTACATTTTTCATTGAGTGCTACATCTTTTAATCATTGCTACATTTGTCATTGAGTGCTACATTTTTCATTGATTGCTCCATTTGTCATTAATTTGCTACATTTTTCATTGATTGCTACATTTGTCATTGAGTACTACATCTTTCATTGATTGCTACATTTGTCATTACTTTGCTACATTTGTCATTGATGCTACATTTTTCATTGATTTCTACATTTTTCATTGAGTGCTACATTTGAAGAAAGAGTTTCCCCCGTTCCTGTGCCTGTTGCATTCTAACGTCTTGGCTTCATCATTTCAGTCAGTGGCCAGGTGACATGCATGGGTCAAGTGGCTAGGGGTACGGACATTTATCTCAATTTGTTTGAGCCTGGGAGCGTTATTTGTTGGGTGAGTGGTACATACAACAATTTAATGTATGCCTCATTAACTATAATGCATCAATTTATTGGTTGAGGAGGGCACATGAAATATTTTCATCTTCCTGTAGTTTGGGAGCTATAGGGTGCGGTGATGCGGACCGCACCTGGTTGACACCATTTCAAGGTGAAAAATTACATATTTGCAGGGCGCTCACTATCCCAGCGTAACCGAATCTCACAAAAGGATAACCGATTAAATGTACACTTTCCACACGTGTAACCAATCGAACTGCGTGCTTTATTAAAAGTTCAAGGCTGATGCGTCAGACATGTGGTGACCCTATGACAAGTCAGAAAAACACCATGATTCAACGCCGATTGAGGTGTTAGGTAAAATTTCATGACAAGAAGCATTGGCACCGAATACGATGTGGTCGAAAGATTCTAACTACATGTTAAAATTATTAAAGAGATTTACCTCCTGGCCCTCATTTAATTTTTTTTTTGTTTGCGTGTGCTTGTCGTTGTTATAATGTGGACTCATTTTAACTAGAAGAAATCCAACGTGGAATTCGGGGGGGGTGATGGGGAGAGTGGGGGATGGGGTGAAACAATAAGTTGACCTCACCGGGTGAGACCAACCCTAGTGAAACTACGGGGGGGGGAGGGGGGGTGGCATAAATCCAACGTGGAATTCGGGGGGGGTGATGGGGAGAGTGGGGGATGGGGTGAAACAATAAGTTGACCTCACCGGGTGAGACCAACCCTAGTGAAACTACGGGGGGGGGAGGGGGGGTGACACCATTAGTTCACCGCACCGGGTGACACCAGCCCTAGTGGCGCCACTGGTTTTATGAAAATACTTGTTCTTTACAACTGCTTTGTGTTCATGCGTGCTGTCTTAAAGTTAAATAGAGTGTTTAAGAATTAAAATGTTACTCACGTATGTTCCTTGTTAAATCAATTAGAGGTCTTCTCTTTTGCTCGTGTGTTGTTTGTTGAGTCGAAGTCTTCCGAAGTCTAATTGACCCACCTCCAGTCATCGCATCGAGCTGAAACTTGGAACATAAAATCGTTGCCGATGACAACACATTTTATCAAATTTTCAGCCCCACCCCAACCCACCCTTAAACCCTCAAAATCAGTTTTTCCTATATTAAGATAAAGAAAATATGATTTCTTTTTCAATTGGTGCGTGTTTTGGTCAAGAGATTACTTGTGTTGCCCTTGCTATGTGCTTTGTATTTGTGGTGAATTTGGGTTCAAATATATTTTTAGTTTATTAAGTTCTGCATGCAATAAGGTTGATAAAAATAGCATTCCCGTACCGACAATTAGTTTTTGCAGTCACATAAATGATAAATTACTTAGTATTACGTAATTGCAAACCAAAGATATGCATATAAATGAATTGTATGAAAAATTTGTTTTAGATGTTGATTAATTTTGAATACTATTATTTCAGAAATCGGGCCTTTAAAAAATTAAATCCCCGTTAAGACATTTTCTGATAATAAACTTTGGTAGCCCTGAAGTCAGTTTTCTTTATTTTATTGTGTTAATTACTTTTTTAGTTTTTAGTTTTGGAGACGACATGTTTGTTGCCATGTTTGTCGCCATGTTGGTCGCTATGTTCGTCGCCATGTTTGTCGCCACCTTTGTCGCCATGTTTGTCGCCATGTTTGTCGCCAACTTTGTCGCCATGTTTGTCGCCACCTTTGTCGCCTGTTTGTCGCCATGTTTGTCGCCATGTTTGTCGCCATGTTTTCCTGGATAGTTGTTACCGGTAACTTAAAGAAATGAGCGTTAAGCATTTCATTTCTGTTATAATGCAACGATTCAATGATTTCTTCTATTAGCATAATTAATTAAATTAAAGTTTTGCCAATTTTTTATCTCATAAGTATATTAAAACATTTTTTTTAAAAATCCTTTACCATAGAGAGTTCCAGACAAGGGAAGTAATTCGATCTCAGTGGAGTACTTCACTGGCGACTGTACGACTGTGAACAACGGGGGCTCGGATACCATCACACTGACGCAGACGAAGAATTGTGATCTTACCACAACAACAGCCTCCACAACCACAACCACACCATCCACCGTGACAACGAAATCGACAACGTCTTTGTCTAGCACAGGTAGTCACGTAGCACAGGTAGTCATGTAGCCCAGTTAGTCACGTGGCACAGGTAGTCATCTAGCGCAGGTAGTCATGTAGCCCAGGTAGTCACGTGGCACAGGTAGTCATGTAGCGCAGGTAGTCATGTAGCCCAGGTAGTCACGTGGCACAGGTAGTCATGTAGCGCAGGTAGTCATGTAACACAGGTAGTCATGTAGCACAGGTAGTCACGTAGCACATGTAGTTATGTGGCACAGGTGGTCATGTAGCACAGGTGGTCTCGTTTGTCTACGACTTCATTTCCGCTGACGTCTACGCGGTAGCCATGTAGTAACTATCTCTCATTTGTCCAGCAAAGGTAGCCATGTAGAAACTATCTCTCATTTATCCAGCAAAGGTAGCCATGTAGAAACTATCTCTCATTTGTCCAGCAAAGGTAGCCATGTAGAAACTATCTCTCATTTGTCCAGCGAATGTAGCCATGTAGAAACTATCTCTCATTTGTCCAGCAAAGGTAGCCATGTAGAAACTATCTCTCATTTGTCCAGCAAAGGTAGCCATATAGAAACTATCTCTCATTTTTCTAGCAAAGGTAGCCATGTAGAAACTATCTCTCATTCGTACTATAGACGATGAATCGTGTTTTGATTGTAACAACGTAACAGGGATCATGGGTAAATAATTTTTTTTAAAAAGCCGGTGAGACTGAATTATAGTTCCTGGAAACCGACCCAAAAAATCCTTAACACGCGAACCTAGGGCGCCAACTTCCATCAACACATCGTTACACCTGGGGTGCAGCTAGGTTCAGGCAGATTGTCCACGACAACGTGGAGAGGCCTCGACGTGCCGCTGGGGGCCTCGTGTGTCATGATGGTGTGATATTGCTACCAGTAGCCAATAGGCTTTTTTCGAAACTCTTTTAAAATAACATTAGAATAAGAGTACACTAATTTGAGCAATCACAAACGGAATCAACTTTTTTTTTATCATCCTTTCGAAACGAATGACGTGGATCAGGATAAGACTACCGCAAGTATGGTTAACCTCTTTATTTAGCGGAGTTACGCCCCCTGGTGACACATCGGAACAATAATATCACGTGTCAGGAATCAGCTTTATTTCAAACGTGTTTCCAGATTTGTTTGCACTTAGTCAAACACAGGTAAAATATGATTCTACCTTTGATGAAAATTTGATGCAGAAATAGACTTTGATACCCTTTAAACTAACATACAAGAAACAGTGAATACACTTTTGAAACAAAAAAACCCTGTTATTTTCAAAAAAACTAAGTGAAGAAAAATCTCTCATTCAGATCCCAGTGCAACCACAGCCGGGACCAAGTCACCATCAAGTTCTAGCGACTCGGCTGCTGTAGGAGTTGGGGTCGGGGTCAGTTTTGGGGTCATTGCACTGATCGCCTTGTGTGTCCTTGCCGTTATTCTGATCAGGAAAAATAACCTCATGGTCAAAGTGGCGGGTAAGTTTGTTTGTAGTGTCATGGGCGCGGTCATGACGGCACAATGTTTGCAGGGCGCAAAAAAAAAAAAAAAAAACAAAATAATGTTTCAGCCTCACTCCCATGGAGATGTTGAAAAATATATATTTCGCTACCGTAAGACTTAGAATATATATGTGTCTTTAGTGCCATGAGGCGTGTCTAGTTAACGACACTCATCCGAGACCATCTTCTGCAAACGATCATTTGTCCGTAAAATGTCATGAACCTATTGAAGACCCAATTCTTTGTCAGAAGACAAATGTATTGTTTGACTACTTAAATATTTTTCCTATTTGTGGGTTTAACTGAGAAAAATGTTGACATTCAAGTTGCTTCCTGTAACTGTTTCGATAAATAAACTGTTTAATCACAATTTTTATTAATAAATGTTCAATGAAAAATGTTCAGTCACAACTGTTCAATCATATTCCGATCCTCAGATCTGAGAAGTAAGCAGAAAGCCTCGGCTGAAAAGAAGAAAGCGAAAATCGCAAAGAATGAGAACCCTGAAAACAGTGACGTGAATCCTATTATAAACGGCAGAGAAACGATAACTCGGCCAAACACCCGCTTACCTCCCATTACTAATGGAAAGGCTCCTCCCCCTAACGGTTAAGGAGGCTAACGATCTTCATCTTGACTGTTTGACTTGTTTACAGGCTAAAGTGTTTAATGTTTTTATATTATGTTTACTGTTATTGGCAGGGAGGAGACATTTACAGGAAACTCTGAAGAAAGACAATAACAAAAAGTGAACGTTTCGGCCAAAAGCCTTCGACAGCAAAGCAAGTAAAAGACGGAGACAAACTCACTTAGTTAGTTTAGACTTGTAGTCCACAGGGAATGGTAGACACATTCAACTAAGAAAGTGACCCATGAAATCAAAGAAGATGCGTTTTTATTTATATCTCATCTTTTATGTTTTAAAGATTTTTTTGAGATTGACAGGTTTTTCTCTACCATTTGTAAATGTATTATTGCTTTAACAACCACAGAGTCCTCCCTGTATTTATTATTTTAATTTTACTATCATAATGATTTTAGTATTATTATTATTATTATTATGTGGTTTTATGCAGCGCAGTACCCCAGCCTAGGGCCTGGCTCACTGCGCTTCACATAAAAATTAGTGCTACAGAAACGTTAACATATACAAACAACGATTGATGAAAAGTTTGACCTCACCCACCCAAGCACTATCTACCCATGTGTAGCCACGGACAGCGCCCAGAAAAGTCGAGCGTTTTTTATCAGTTAGAGTGGTGAGAATGAGTCGGTATTGTAGAGTTTGAAGAGATGGGTCTTGAGGGCAGTTTTGAAGAGATGAGTCTTGAGGGCAGTTTTGAAGAGATGAGTCTTGAGGGCAGTTTTGAAGAGATGGGTCTTGAGGGCAGTTTTGAAGAGATGGGTCTTGAGGGCAGTTTTGAAGAGATGAGTCTTGAGGGCAGTTTTGAAGAGATGGGTCTTGAGGGCAGTTTTGAAGAGATGGGTCTTTATGGCAGTTTTGAAGAGATGGGTCTTGAGGGCAGTTTTGAAGAGATGAGTCTTGAGGGCAGTTTTGAAGAGATGGGTCTTGAGGGCAGTTTTGAAGAGATGGGTCTTGAGGGCAGTTTTGAAGAGATGGGTCTTGAGGGCAGTTTTGAAGAGATGAGTCTTGAGGGCAGTTTTGAAGAATGGGTCTGAGGGCAGCTTTCGAAGGAGTTAGTAGACAATAAGAAGTTCAGTAAGTCTGATGGGAAGGGCAAGAACAAGAGAAAAAGTTGTGACAGAGAACAGACGGCTTGTAATCAATGCGTGCCTGTATAGGGAGCCAATGAAGTGAGTGGAGTAGGGGATAACGTTATCACGTTTCTTTGCCTTAAAAACTAACCTAGCAGGTGAGTATTGTACTTTCTGCAGTATTAAGTGTACTCCTCCCAGTCTACGTATTTCTCCCATGTTTCCTCCAGCCCTCCCCGTTTTTCTCGCAGACCTCCCCGTATTTCTCCCAATTCTCCCAGTATTTCTCCCAGTCCACCCCGTATTTCTCCCAGACCTCCCTGTATTTCTCCCAGTCCAGCCGTTTTTCTGGATATAGGTGAGCAATATAAGGTTTTTAAAAAAAAAATTTGTTCCTCACATTTCACGCTAGTATAAGTGGCGGTAAAGATGGTAAAATTGTAGTTAGGAAATATTTTAAATAAAAACAAAAGCTACATCAGCGACAGTTCTATATTAGCCATTGTTGTCAAAGTTCACGTCGTCTTCGGGTTGTCATTAACATATGACATATTTAGTGTTTCGTTTATGACATATTTAGTGTGTCTTTTATGACATATTAAGTGTGTCTTTTATGACATATTCAGTGTTTGTCTTTAATGACACTATCAGTGTTTGCATCTGAGATGTGTTAAGTGTTTGCCTTTATGACTTTTCAAGTGTTTGCCTTTATGATATAAAACACACACAATCGATACCGTAATGTAAGTAAATCAAAGTTAAATATCACAGTATTTAAAATATCATAGTTCAAACTGCAAGGCCAGTGTTGCATTACTAAATATTGATATTAAAGATGACGTTTGTTGAAATAACTGTGATAAACTGTGATAAACTGTGATAACCTGTGCGCAATGTACTCCCTTCCGTATTCTTGACAACAAATTATGAATCTTTCCTTTATATGAACTTATTATATGTGTTTATCGTTGATGTATTAGAAATGTCACGGTTCAGCTTATTTAAAGTGTGTGTTGTGTGAATGCTTTTATTATACGGCTCCTGATTGCCTGCTGATTAATTTACATACTTTTCAGTTAATGGCATGAGACACTTTCTTGATGAAATCCTTACTACCGGTAACCATTAACAAAATGCTGAAGGAAACGAAAACCATCTTTCTAAACATTTTGCTCTTTCATTTCCGACATATTAAACTATCTTTTAATGAAGCACTGTTGACTTTCTAAGAGGCCAGTGTTGAACGCCTATTACTGTTTCTTTATATAAATAGATTTTGATTTAATATAGATTAAAGTTATATAATTCTTTGGTTTATTTCTTTATTATCTGTTCATTATAGTGTATCTAGGGACGATGTAAGACTTGCCCAGATGTCCACTGTTCTCTACAACCTTCCTTCTCCACTTCTCTCTACCATCTAACTTGTCCACTTCTCTCTACCATCTAACTTGTCCACTTCTCTCTACCATCTTAGTTGTCCAACTCTCTTTCACCTTCCTTTCTACTCTAACGGTCGATGGAAATTGCATGAATTAGCATTGCGTTTACAGTTTGGTACTTTATAACAAAACGGATGGACCAACAGATCACTGCTTTTAATGTTATAATCTTCCTGTGTATTTTAATGTTTGTGATATTTATATTAGGGACCTTACAATTTATAGCCTTATTAAATTCAATGCTTGGTCATGCTCTTCATGTACTGATCTGTAACAAATAAAACACAAATGGACAACTTTTTGTTAATGAAGTTAGAATAATTTAGATATTGGCAATCGATTTAGTTCTTCCACAATAGTAAAATGAAATAACGTAAAAGAATTAAATAGAGTTAAACAGCTGAATGAATTCATCATTTGTTTCATGTATTGTGTTGTAGTCAGTAACGTGTTTAACTTAATAACGCGCACACACAAGGAAAATCACTTATAGACGACACTTACTAGAACGGTTTCCCAAAGATTTCTTCAATATGTATTCCTAAGACTGGTTTGAATAAGTCACTAAAACTGGTTTGACCAAGTCACTAAGACTGGTTTGACCAAGTCACTAAGACTGGTTTGACCAAGTCACTAAGACTGGTTTGACCAAGTCACTAAGACTGGTTTGACCAAGTCACTAAAACTGGTTTGACCAAGTCACTAAGACTGGTTTGACCAATTCACTAAGACTGGTTTGACCAAGTCACTAAGACTGGTTTGACTAAGTCACTAAGACTGGTTTGACCAAGTCACTAAGACTGGTTTGACTAAGTCACTAAGACTGGTTTGACCAAGTCACTAAGACTGGTTTGACCAAGTCACTAAAACTGGTTTGACCAAGTCACTAAGACTGGTTTGACCAAGTCACTAAGACTGGTTTGACCAAGTCATTAAGACTGGTTTGACCAAGTCACTAAGACTGGTTTGACCAATTCACTAGACTGGTTTGACTAAGTCACTAAGACTGGTTTGACCAAGTCACTAAGACTGGTTTGACTAAGTCACTAAGACTGGTTTGACCAAGTCACTAAGACTGGTTTGACCAAGTCACTAAGACTGGTTTGACTAAGTCACTAAGACTGGTTTGACTAAGTCACACATTTCCTAATAAAGTCATAACGCATTTAAACGTTTAAAACAAAAAAAAAAGAAAATCATTTTTCTTCGACTCCCCCACCCCCAAATATGTTTCCCCCGAAACCCACGTCCTATACATTGGAGTGAGAGAAAATCAGGCTTGGGGAAAACCTGCCTAAATGCTATTTCTTCAGGCGCTGTTGGTAAATGGCGCCCTTGAGACATAACGCCCTGTGATTCAAATAGTTGACGTCATCAAGTAAAACACCCGCTCCTAGCTTGGTAGGCCAGGTCACGTCAGTTCTCATTTGCCTGAGATTTACGAGTGTCCTAACCAAACGGAAATCATCGCCAAGACTTTTGTTTTTATCTTCAAAGGGATGTGTGTTCTTACGGTGACCTTCCCCATCCGTCACCTACACGCACCCGCACGAGCTAAGAGCACTGAGTGATATAAACAGTGCATGACGTGCGATGTCAAAGCATCCTTGTTGACGCTAACATCTCATCTCCAACGGGTGATGCTAACAATGGTATTGATGAGTTCCGCTGTATGGGTACGGATTCTGAGAGGCCTCGGTGGCCACCATCCATGAACAACACAACAGCGAGTTGGATGTCGGTGCATGTTCTCCTTGCAACAAGTGCAGTAACTAAAGGAAGTTGTATATGAACCATGGCACTCCTCTAAGTGAAGTAATTGATGGAAGTCTTATGTTAACTAGGCTACTTCCTAGAAGTGCATTAATTTTGGGAAGTTGTTTATTGGCTCTGTCACTCCTTAGAAGTGCAATAAATTTGAGAAATTGTGTTGACTCTGCCACTCCAATAAAGTTCTAAACGCTAAGCTGGTGTAGGCCTACCTTCTATTGTTTTTTAAGTCCCTACTTATGCGTGCTTTTTGATACATTATGGAGTAAAAATCCATCGAGACTTAACAAGAACTGAGCTTTCCGTTACATAATGTTCACCATTAAAACAAAAGTGTCACATCATAATAATGAGACGGAGTCAAAATGGTGGAACACTTGTCAACTCGACAGCCGGACAGCAATGGAGCAATCACTTGTCAACATCACAACCGGACAGCAATGGAGCAATTATTTGTCAAAACGACAACCGGGCAGCAATGGAGCAATTATTTGTCAAAACGACAACCGGACAGCAATGGGGCAATCACTTGTCACACGACAGCCGGACAGCAATGGATCAATCATATGTCACACGACAGCCGGACAGCAATGGAGCAATCACTTGTCAACACGACAGCCGGGCAACAACGGAGCATTCACTTGTCAACATGACAACCGGACAGCAGTGGAGCAATCACTAATCAACATGACGACCGGAAAGCAGTGGATCAATCTCTTGTCAACATGACAACCGGACAGCAGTGGAGCAATCACTTGTCAACAAGACAACCGGACAGCAATGGAGCAATCACCTCTCATACACTTCCTCCGTTTGCTGTTTGCCTATTTATTAATTTTTAAAATAATTTTAAATGAGCCGCCAAACAAATGTGTTGCTGTATTGAGACTAGCTTTGGAAGTAATAATATTACTTTTGTAATGGTCACTTTACATTTGAAGTCAGATTTGACTTTTAGAGTAAGTATTTTGTTTTGTTCAAACCAAGTCTCGGCACACTAACAGTTTTAAGTAAAAGACTTTGATTCTAACAGAGTTTGGATCTGTCAGATTTCTATTCTGTCGGACTTACGTTCTGTAACAGTTTTCTTTCCGTCACACTTTAATTATGTCAGACTGTTACTCTGCAAGACGCTATAATAAGAGTGATCTATTCTTACTCTCCTGTCACCTGTCACCTGTTAACATCAATGACAGACTTCCAAAACATGTTTCTTCTTAGCCCGACGGAGCATATAAAAACAAACATGATGGACTATTAGACCCAACTGTTTGATCCCATTCAAATGTAAGGCAATTTTGCTCCGTGAAAACAATCTGACCTTCAAATTTTGTGTCGGATAAAAAAAATTAGTACAACTTTCCAGCTGAAACTAGATCCTGCCAACGTTCCCCGAATATAAACAGGTCCAGTAAGACCAGTGATTCTCAAAGTGGGCGTTATCACCCCCACTATGACGGTTGGGAGGACCAGGGGAGTTAAAGGCTTAGAATATATTAAGAGGTGATGTGAGTCCAAAAGAGTGCGCTATGAGTCCAAAAGAGGGCGCTGTGAGTCCAAAAGAGGGCGCTGTGAGTCCAAAAG